AATCGTAAGGTATAATTTAAGCTTTAAATAAGTCTATGAAAATGTATGCAGACTACATATTTATGAGAAAGATTCCATTGACTACATATAATCAATAAAATCAAGATTCCCTATGAGATTCAGCTATTTAGCCTGCCAATCTTTATGACACTAAAGTATTATTCCTCTTGGTTGAAGATGTTTTTTCCTTTCAGCTTCTATTATGGCTGCACAAATGGGAAGAAGCCAAATGATTGCACTGAGGAAACAATGAGGCTGAATAGATACAAAATGCTGTCAAACACACAGGGTGAACAGAAAAAATATGTTTTTAATTTCTTTCAGCTCTTGCCTGTTACTTCTATCAGCAGTAGGACAGAGGGAAGGGAAATAAATCAGATGCAAAAATAATTGTTCAGAAGACAACACCCCACTTAAAGAGCCATTAATAAAATTTATAGGACCAAAAATGCATGGGAAAAAAAAGGGATTAAAAATTCATTTCTGCAGAAATGTACAGAACAGCTCCTGAGTTCTGTGCCCTCTCCTAGCCATGCAGGTGATCTGAATGGTGAGGGGTATGAGGTTTTGGGGGAGTTTAACCCAGCCATTTTCTCTAGGAGAGCCAGCACAAAGAAAAGCTTTCTAAGAATAAGTACCTTTTAGGTGCCTGATAGATTAAAAACAAGAACATCTGAACTAGGCCCACTCCTCAAAGCAATGCCAAACTCACTTCCCCCTCCAACCCCGCAGCAAAATTTCTGTAGGAGATGAAATACCTCCATTTGGGTTTCGTTGTCATCACATAGAGAGGAGCAGCCACAGCGAGGGAGTGTGACTGTGACTGTGTGCTAAAGGAACATCTGATCACCAACACCTGCTTTCCTTTCAGGTCCTGGCATTTCAGGTGCAGGACCCCAAAGGGGTGCTGGCAGCAGGCGCTGCGTGGTGCTACATGCAGGCAGACAGCGCAGCCTGGGGCACACAGCACCTGGCTGCCCTAAGCCACGTGCTCGCCATGCTGTCATTTGTGCCGTGCTGCTGGAATATTTTATCTTGACATGCCTGGCCTGCCCTTGCCCCTCCTCTCTCTGTGGGTAGAGTACACGAAGTCTGGAAGGCTCTTCCTCTTCGTGAACTGCTGTGAGATTTCTGCCTGCAGGAATAGCACCTGGATCTGACAAGCAAAGAGCAGCCTGATATTTTCTGGTCTCTGTTATTAAATGGTGCGTTGCCCTTATCATGATCCCAGTTAAGCCAGCAAGTGTTTTGCCATCAGCTTCAGCAGAAGTGTGTTCAAGTCCTAGAAACCAAGGATTTGATGATGGTAGATTGCTTAGAAAATGAACTGAAAAATTTAAAGGATGTTGCTCTTGCATCCAATGTCAGATTGAGTGCTTAGAACTGGGAGGACAAACAACAGATTACTACACAGATCAGCTAAAACTTGAACCTAGTGACAAAGAATGCCTTTTCTCAGACATCATGGAAACACATGATTCCTAAATAATTTTTCTGCTTTGGATCTCTTTCTCTTTTAGTTTGATGGGCAATGGTCACCTTGAAATCTTTGACTCTAATACTGCAAGTAACTATTGCTACCACAAAAGCTGCAGTAGCATTTATGATTTCTCTGCCATATCTCTGAATATGTTAATGGCAACTAAGATGCAGTTTCACTTTCCTTCAGTAAAAGAAATCTATGAATTACTATGTAGTTTTCTCTCTATATCACTGAATGCTCTACTGTGCGGGTTGTCTGACAGTAACAGACTTGTTACCCTATTTGTACTTTAGTAATGTACTGCTAAGAGGAATTAATAGCTTGCTGTGCAGAACTACTTTGCTGGCATTCATACTGTTATGTGAAATCTTCAGGCTTTATTATCAATTTTGCAAGCGTATCTGTCAAAAACAATTAAATCCTACCACAGATACAATTTTTATTACACCAATCTATGCAAATATTTCATTGTTGCAGGTATGAATATTTTATATTACATAAGGAGAAACTAAAAGGAATTCAATTTAATTTAGCCATGGGGTCTCCAGTCAAAGATGTGTGGTTTTGCATGTACTCCAGACTTTTTCACTGTTCTTGGGCAGAATTCCTAAAGTATAAAGAGAAAAAATGAAACGCCTGTTGTATCCAAAGAAAATGAAGCTGGCACTTATGGACCTTGTGCTATAGTAAAAGCTTATCACTGAACAGAACTTTTTTTTTTTAATTAGTGCAAAAAGCCAGGTAATTTCCCTTACTACTCTAGAAGAATGTATTGGCATTTTATTTTTTATAGCAATGTGGATCCCATATTCTTTACTTTGTGTTCAGACTTAGCTTCCTTTATATTCACATTAGAGACATCTATCTGGTCTCATTTGTACTAAACTAATGAAACTTGAATGCACAGAAGTCCAGTTATTTGTGATTTTCCTTGATAAACTCCAGCATAAACCCAAGCTTTTCTCCTTGAAACCTGAACCAAAATTATTATCTACATAAATTTATTGCAATGACAAAGCCAAGATCAAAAATTAAATATCTAAGAGGAAAAATCCTAAGTATATAGATCAAAAAGTTTTCAGAAAAATATGACTGAGATTTCTAACACGTTGACAATAATAGAATGCCAGAAATAATAAGCAAGATTTGTGGAGCATAACTAACATGACGTAATCTATGCTACAGAGTTCTATGACTCCTCCACATATAATTTAAAAACTTATTAGATAAAGCACAAGGGAAACATTGTAGGCTCTGTGCTATGGTCATTTCTCCTTCTCTATATTCTTTTAAGAACTGCATATACTGTTTTAAACATAACAGAAGGGTTGCTTTTATTTATGTGCCCTTCAGTATGCTTATTGCTCCAACTACGTTGATTATATTTTCTATTATTTTTAGATTATTTTATTATTTATGACAAGCAGCTACTTTCCTTTAGTGGGAATTATAGTAGATGGAAAACTGGTAAAAAATTATTAATGCATTTTTGGTTTTTTGGAAAATAAAATTTCAAAATAGCAGGTGGGCTAATAAAAGCAGTGGATACACAATTTTTTTTAATCTTTGTTCCCCAAAAGATGCAACCTGAAAACCAGTCAATATCTGAGATTTGATCAGCCAAGCTACATAACAGTTGTATGCTTGAAATACAGCGCATACAATTTGGCCTCTACTCATTATCTGCCTCTTTCCTTTAGCTTTCGCTTAATACACACAAAGGAAATCTGTGAAAATGTTTTCATTGTTCTAGATCACTTTAAGAAGCCTTTACAGTAAAAACACTTCTGTGAAATATATTAAGTAAATCTCATTATGTAACTCTTTCAACAAAATAGTCTTTATTCTGTGTTTTTTCTTAAAAAAGTAAACAGTAATATCAGGCTCAGTACTGCTGTTTCATCTGCTCATGTGTTGAAGCACCTTCACCTGCCTGCTAGTATTTTAAAATAGCATGTTTTGTTGAAAAAAATGATGCCAGTAGTCACCAACTTTGCTAAACACACGGATTTTGTATACCTAGCAAAAATATTGTTTGACTGTTTCCACATTTCAGAAGATACCTTTTAAAGTGCACTGTACTGGGAACTACATGATCATGTTGGTCACTTGTTGCTGAATAGAAAGGATGTAGTCTGTCTCAAATGACAGGGAAACATGACAGATATGGATCCATGAACTAATTGTGATCAAATGCAGGAACTGATATTAATGCATGCCTGTAAAATAATCATGTTGATACTACAGAAATAAAACATTCAAACTTCTCCACAGCAGTGAAAAAGCAACAGCAATTGCAACTTGTGAATTGATAACAGCCAGTCTGAACCTTTGTTCTTATTTTATACAGATCTCTCTTTTTTTTCCCTTTGCGGCTTTACTCCTGCATAAACTTTTAAAGAGCAAGCTATTTTACCTGCACATCAGAAATCTATTCTGGAAAATAGAAATTTATTGATTTTTTTTTAAAGCATATCCAAAACTAGAAGGGCTAATACTCATGGAAAAAGGAACACACCAAACCTCTACTGTTGAAAAGTTTACAGCATGAGAAGGAGAAAAATACATACAGAGAATACTTCCCATATTGAAACATTTCAAGGCATTTGAACCCTATTCAATTGCTGCAAACTTGCCACTTCTAAAACCAGAACTGCATGAATTTTACTGAAGACCCAGTAACCTAGTGATCCTCCAGACCTCTGCTTAAAGGTAGGTTTCTCAAAAAAAAAAATCTTATATCAAATCTTAACCCTCGCTGTACTATTAATACTAGGTATCAAAAAGAGTGCATACTGTGTGTGTGATCACAGCACTTTTTAAAGCTCATTAAAGAATCTTTCTGTTCAATGGCATTTTTTGTTAGCAACATTTCTATAATGTAAAGGCTCTCATCACTGTGCAGCAAATATATGGGGTTTTTTGCTCTTATCTCATGTAGTGCACTTGATAAGGAGTACTACTGAATCCTCTGCACGCTGCATTACAAAGAAAACTGTCTTTCAGTAAGGCATTTTCTCTCCACTGCTTTCACATGAAATAAGGGCTCTCGTAGCTGAATGTATCCAACTGTATTAATACTCAAATAAAAACTGAAACCCTTTATCTGAAGTATAAAGCCCTGAAAAGATTTTGCCTTTTCAATTGTGTTCACTGTAATAAAGGTTAATATTGAACTGAACTTATCGTAATCTAGCATCACATGTTAAGTTCCAAATCTCTGCATGTGATCTATTTTCTTCTTTATTAAATGATAATGACAATGGTAAAATGATGGCAATATTATTAAAAATATCACAGCAAAAGCATTTTACTTAAAGACAGTTCAAACCTATTGCTTTCATGAGTAGGAAAAAAAACATGGTGCAAAGTGCTCAGGAGAGGGAAGGGACTAGCATCTGTTGAAAATTAACTACTTCAACATTAATTAACACATCATTTTCTACCTGATGAGATGGTGTTGTAGAAAGTATAAATTGAAGGCACAAGAGTAAGAAATGAGTCATCTTTGACTTACCGTATCAAAGAATATTGCTGTATTGCAGTCAGCAGCCAAACACAGAGCATGAAGCTTCTCATAAATCAGAAAAAATATACAATCAATGAGCAAGTCAAATTCATTGTAAAAATAAAGGCCAGAGATTAGAGTATGTATCCAAGGGTCTGGTTAGTCACAGCTTTGACTAGCCTGCTACAGAGCTCTGCAAAACAAGTATACTGCAGCAGTGTGGCAAGCATAGGATTGCAATGCATGTCCCATATATTCAAGCATAATAGAAAACATGGTCTGGAGCTTATTCCATGTGGAAGTGGGGTTTGTTTTATGCAGGCAGAAAAAAGAAAGGTTCTTTTCCCACATAATAGAATTAGAAATGAAGATTTTTCTTGATTATTGTACACAATAATTCCCCAGGATATCAATTACATAAAGCAGGTGCCTCTGTCTCCTGTTTCCCAGATAAATGCCTGTAATCTCATTTCACAAATGATCCTATTTAGACAGGAACCACCTATTGTGATGATATCATTTGCTCTAGTATCCATAAATGGGCAACTTCCTACAAAACGTCATGACTACTGACGACACAAATTTTTATAATATTGAGTGGGCAGGGTGGTTGATGGGGTCCCATCAATCTACAGCAGCTTCTTCTGATATGATACCACGAATCCTGCATAATCACATAAAAGACTGTAAATGAAGAGGAGCATTAAACCTCTCTAGTAAAGCTCATTAAAAAAAAAGAAAAAAAGAAAAAAAGAAAAAAACAACAACAACAACAACAAAAAACAAACAAAACCCCCACACCTAAAACTGGGGGGGGAAAAAATCCCTGGAGAGGTAGTAAAGGCAGATAAAACATAATGACAGAGCAGTGGCACCTTCTCAAATGCCTTCGGCACTCTCAAGGATACTGGTAGATATGAACAAAATCACTCTCAGTTAAGTGTAGCTGTCAGTTTCTTTTTAACAAATAATAAAAGACTGAATATCCTTTTCCCTTGCAAATTTAAAATATGCAGTGACAGCAAAAAGGACCAGTGCTTCAGTGATACACAAATTAGCCCACTCTTAGTGAATATTTTTTAGAATTAGCAGCTGCTTGTCACAGGAGCTTGGAATATGAACAGTGTATCAAATTACCCATAGACTCTTTGAAATCCAGGCTGCTAGACAGGCTTGCTTCCTGCACTAGCTACATGGATTTAATTTCTTACATCAGTCTTTTCTTAAGGAGAGCCATTCCATTAAATATGTGTATTTGGGAAATATTATAATACTCGCAGATAGCTGAAATTAGTTTCCATCTGCCTGCTTTAACACACAGAGATGTGAGGAGAGTTAAAGGTGATAGTGTTCACTTGCCTACCCACCCTTTTCCCCAAGGGACTCAATTGTGCCTAGAGGCTAAAGCAAATTGCCTAAGAACTTGTATTTAATATTTTTCTTGGAAGAAGTTGGTAAGAACTTCAGAAGAAGGTCCCCTGGTTAAAAAAAAAAATACCTCAGGGCATTTTTCAACAGGATCTCCACAAATCTTGGTTTACTTACCCCTGCTTTGAACAGACTAAGCTGCATCTAAACAGCCTCTTAATACATGGGAAGAAATGCATTAGGATCCATCTGCATTCATGTTTGGACAGTGCTCACTGAACACCAGTCAAGCTTGGTTTTCAGGGTGGAAAACTTTAAAGCTTAAAAGTAAAAACCCCGAGAGGACTTTATCTACATTTCTACTGACGTAGTTCTAGCAAAACAGAGTTCGCTTCTCAAAATCCAGCCCCTCCACTGTACATTCCCTTCTAATACTTTGCCTTTATTTTACACTTTCTTTGGGCCAGGGACCGCCCTCTACTAAATTTCTGTATTACACATAGAGAGGGTCTCAAAGGCAAGGCAGTGCAAATTTTAATAATAAAAGCAACTCTTTCAGAGTTGACTCCTACCAGAGTGACTCACTTCAGGTCTAGATAGGTTGAAAGCAAGATCTGAACACAGCATCCATGGCTACAAGACGCAGTATGCTGTCAAAGCAGAGAAGTCAATAGGTTTTTTACAGGCACCCTAAAGAGAAGAACTCCTTCCTCAGAGATTGAAAACATTGGACAAAACAACTTCAGAGCACTGAGTAGCCATTTAGATACAAGTCATTTAGAAGGTTCTTTCCTTCTCCCTCCTGTGCTTGTCTTCCAAGACAAGACTAGCTGATCTCCTTAAATATGCTGTTTAGGAAAAGACAGAAGCACAGCTTTGGCTCTGGATATCATAACCCCTTCATTTCAGTATAGGGTGGAAATAGAAAAGCATATACTCTGTGTATCCAGATGGCATAAATATTTCCCATGTGTTTCCATGACAAAAGACAAAGATAACACAAGAAACAGTTACAAAGTAGAAGTGTGTGTGAGTGTAACTGAGATTGATGGTCCAGAAGTTTCTCTCTTGGCTAGATAAAAGCTGATGAAATGGAAATAAGGAGAAGAAGAAAAGGCAGAAAATAGCTAAAAAGAAAATTAATCACTGCTTCATCAAATTCTACCCTGCCTTGGGAAACACCAAATGTCAGATTTCCCTGTTAATTTTCAAAGTCTTTCAAGGCAGTTTCCAGGATGTAGTAGGCAAGTGCGTGCTTTCTTAAAACAATATCTTTTACAGCATCTGAGCCAAAGGATATCACCACTCTTCCTTAACCTCGATTTGACCTTACCATGAACACAGTGACGAGCTCTGAGCTCATTCCTGTGCAGAGAAGAATGTTAAACACGGTCCATGGAAGATGCCTCAATGGTTCTGACCTGCGCTTAAAGGCTTCTAAGCTTTATAAAACATAGTGCTAAATAGAATGGACCATCATTTCCAGCAGTTCCCATTTGTTTAGGGAGATATTGTGGGAAAAAACTCCAAGCATATTGCTGTCTCAGGAAGGGCCTGAAGGATTATACTGAAAGGATGAGTCACTCCAGTGAAAGCAATGCACTTGCTCATGGAGAGATTGACATAAGCCACAACATCTAATACTAAGAAAGCAAGTACAGTGGACATCTAATAAAACTGCAGACCACACAACAGAATATTCTATCCCTCTTAAGGTCTTTCCTTTCCATGTAGAGTCTTTTAAATACCCTGATATCTTAACAAATAAGTCTAAATGTCTTTAAACTACCTTTGAAATTCCTACTGGTCTCCTTTTTGTTTGGTTTGTTCTTTCTACCATAACTGGAAACTAGATCTCTCCAGACATTACAGACAGCTGATAAATATGAACATTTCTGGGCAAAGAATTAGAATGGTTGGATCTTCTTTAAAATATCTGAGCTTTCCACTAATTAGAGTTGAAACCTAAGTTACAGAACAACAGTGGATTATTGAAAGTCCATTCTGAAAGGCAGGAGACAGAAGGATATTACCTTCTAAAGCAACCAACTGATATTTTAGTAGATAGTCTCTAATGCAGAGACAAAACAAATTGTTTCAGTTATGTGAGTTTGTCTGCTGGTTTGAGTAACAGGAAACTGCAATCTCCAGTAAGTATCATTGTAAGGTATATTAATTATATCAAACCAACAAAAATTATAACAAATTGTTTCAGTTATGTGAGTTTGTCTGCTGGTTTGAGTAACAGGAAACCCTGTAATCTCCAGTAAGCATCATTGTAAGGTATATTAATTATACCAAACCAACAAAAATTAAGCTAAAAAATTTTCAATGCTGTCCTTTTAAACTGCAAACAGCTAACAATCAGTACAAATAAAAAGTGAATTCTTACATGCCATCTTTTCCCAGAAGTAGAGTAGGAAAACAGCTACTGCACATTGTGTGATGCTTCCTTTAATTGTATTACTTAGGCCACCCCATGTGCATATTGATTAACAAGGCTCACATTAACTAAAACAAGGAAAAGCACTTCCACTTGTTTCTACAGCAAACAAACAGGAAAATTAAGCAAGAGTCTCGGACAAGGAAATTTTAGTCTGCTATCCTTCACAATGATTGCAGCCAAGATCAAAAATGCTAAAGGTTAGAAATTTTGTCCTCATGATTTTAGCCAGATCTACTTGTATATAAACCTCTTGAGGAGCTGAACTGATGGGATCCATTGAAGACATTATTTCAACAGATATCACGCTTCTGTTCACAATGATTGCAGCCAAGATCAAAAATGCTAAAGGTTAGAAATTTTGTCCTCATGATTTTAGCCAGATCTACTTGTATATAAACCTCTTGAGGAGCTGAACTGAACTGATGGGATCCATTGAACAGACATTATTTCAACACGTATCACGCTTCTGGACCTAAGCAAAGATTCTCCCTTAAATCCCTCTGAGATTCATCACTTTTGCTTTTCAACAGCACTATGGAAAACTCAAAGGGGGGTTTCAGCCTCATAAGGCCAAATTAATTTGTTATAATATAGCAATGCTGATGAAGAATAATGTGCAGTTTTTAATTACTCGTCAAAATCCTATTTCCCAGCAAAAAGTTAGAAATATCAATTACACGCATCACAAATAAATAAATTATTAAGAAATATAAAAATCACAATCAATTATTACTTAATGCCTAAAATAATCAGAAAAAGGTTCTGTTCACAAGCTCAATTTTATATCACCACCTGCAATGCTAGTGTCCCAAAGAAAATTTGAATTTCACATTCCATTAGTAATACAGGTGTAAAAAAAATCTACCAAATAAAAAATTTACATAGTCTAATTAAAAAAAATAAGCATCCACATGAATATCTAAATAAATGAGAGCAGAAATTTTCTAAAAAATTAGAGGAGGGCTTTGTTTTTCAAAATCTGATTAGCACAATTGTTGATTGATAAGGAGCAATCATGGTTTGCATCTAGTGACTCTTCTAAATGAAATAGAATTGTTTGGGCAATAGGAAGAAAAGGATAAAAAGTTCTGCTTGATTTCTTTCTGTCTGTGAAACTGTGTGTTTTACTAAGTCATTTCCTTTTCAAATGAACTTCCCACTTCTTTGCAAGGCAGCTGCATTGAAACACTTATGACCCTAAAGTATACACAATATACTGTTTAATATAAGCAGAAACTAAATACTCTCTTCTACCATACACCTTGATGGTCTATGGTAGAAGAGAGTAGGATGCCTGGTAGATTTTCCAGAGGTCAGATGTTTGGTAGGGTTCATCCTTGTAGTCAAAAAAAATCTAATTCTCAAAGCATTTCAGATCTGGATTCTCTATAAATTACAGCTATTGTGACAAAACATGGCCTTTGACAGACAGGAGATCTAGAGAGTTTTCTTCACTGAAGATCAAAGGTATAAAGTTGCACTAACAATGACCAGCAAAGTTATGGTATGGCCATACCATTGG